TTCATCATCATCACCACCACCATCATCATTATTAGTCTTTTTTATACTGCTGACACGGCCTCGAAGCAGACCTCCTCTGCAGTGCGCAACACAAGCAGCTAAGCAGTGCCCGTTCTCTGCAACACAAGCCCCAAACCCTCAAAAAGCCCATAATGCAGGGGATTAAACATTGGAGTAGGGTTTGGAGGTATATCATACATGATTGTAATAAGGAGGCCCCAACACCCTATTCTAATTATTCAAGCCCCCAGCCGCCGAAATCTCCGAAGTGAGCGATGAGTAGATCTGTGCTTTGCCTTGTTTGATGAACCTCTCCCCGCCCATTCGGGGTTGGCCAGCAATGGCGAGTAACGAAGGGCGCAGGGTTCAGGGTCCGAGGATCTGGGACATGCAAAACTCTAGGAACCAGCAATCTAGGAACCGGCACCCGGCAAATGAGAACTGTTCCCCTGGTGCCCAGGGACTGCAATATCCCTCAGCTAAGGAACATAATTACCTCAAATTACAAGGATCCCTATTATGAGATAAGAAATCTTCCCTATTTAAGGCCTACTTGTAGGGTATCATGGGGAACTAAAGCTTAACCTTTTTGGTTATATAGGGATTATATAGGGACTATCCTACCCCGAAAAGGTTAAAGGTTACCTACTCTACTACTAGGAAGGGATACTGGAGTTCTTCCTTATTTAAGGGATACTAGGATCCCGAATATGAGTTAAGCAATCTTCCTTATTTAAGGGATACTAGGATCCCTAATGTGAGTTAAGGAATCTTCCTTATTTAAGGGATACTGGAGTCTCTGGGTGGCTCCCCTGCACCTCGCCCTCCATCTGCAGTCGCCTGCCAGTGCCACGCCCCGCCAATCCCGGCCTGGGTCTTCGTCTGCTTACAGCTCCGAAAAGTTTAGGATTTTAGGGTTTCAGGGTTTAGGGGTTTAGGGTTTAGGGATTTTAGGGGTTCAGGGTTTAGGGGTCCAGAAACCTTATGTTAGGCAAATCCGAATGGGCAGACTCCGGGACGAATACGTGGGACCACCACAGACTTGTGCATCAGAAACCGTATTTTAGGGTCTAGGGCTTAAGGTTTAGGGTTATTTGAAGCTTTCCAAGAAATACTATGACATTTTCCTTCAAACCATGTAGAAGGTTTGGGCTACCAGAAGGCCTTCAAGTTCAGGGCTTAGGGCTGCAAGTGTCAACGAAAAGGACTAGGGCTGAAGGTTAGGGTGGGGTTTAGGGTTTAGGATGAAGCATCGGCAAGTTGTAACATTCTTCCTTGACATGACATACCCACGGTTATGTTCTTCGAAAGGTGTCTATGCATCCACTAGGCCGTGTCAACAATGACTTCAGAACCCCGACAAAATCCACATAGAGGCTAACTTCATCCGCCTTCGAATGCTTCGGGCCCCCTACATCAAACCCTAAACCCTAAACCCTGTTTAAGGTTCATCAGCTTTGAAGTGCTCCGGGATTTGTAACACATGCCGGCGGGGTTGATGCTTTTATCTTCAGCTTCGTGGGCTCCCAGGCGGTAGTAGTTAATATAGAATCCTAAATATGTTATGTAATTACCTTCACAGTCACTTCGTCCTTTCATCTTCCTGGGTTGGCGTGTTTCCACTGAAGTAGAATGGTGTCAGCCGGGGATAAAATCGGGGACTAATGAATTTCAACAGGGTTTAGAGGCTTCTATCCGCTCGCTCTCTCTCTCTCTCTCTCTCTCTCTCTCTCTCTCTCGCTCTCTCTCCCTCTCTCTGTTGTTGCTGTCACACTGATATAATCGGACTGTCTCCCTCTCTCTCTCTCTCTGTCTCTTTCCGTGTTTCTGATGTCTAGTAGACACAAATCACCTGTTGGAGTGCACCTGTACCATCCCGTTGCTGAATCCACATTCGCAATCACATGTCATAACCGACTTCAGCCAAGCGGATGTCAACGACGAGGCACAAGAACCAGGACAACAGCAAGGAGTATGGTGATGATAAGGACGAGACTGTGAGCTCGGAACATGATCGAAATGGCATTGGGGTGATAAGAAGCATTTTCAGATTGAACCCCTAGTAGATCTCAGACCCTAAACCGTTCTAAACCTACACCCAAAGCCTAGACCCTCCATCGACTTAATATAGGGGTCTTAATAATTGGAATAGTGTTTTGGTGCCCAGTATCCCATAATTATACTAAGCAATCCCAAAATAGTATTGGTAATGATTTAAGCTCCGATATTGGAAAGTCAAGCGGCATGCTAGTGCGAGGGGCTTTGGGATCACTGGCTGCGACAGATTCTGAGCCGAAGGCTGAGACCCAAGTCTTACAATGTCATCAGTTTAGGGCTTAGGGGTTTAGGGTTTAGGGGTCTAGCGTTTTGGGGGTTTTGGGCTTTACGGCTTTAGCGGTTTATAATTTATAAGGTTTAATAGGGCTTTAGGGTTCAGGGTCTAGGGGTGTAGGGTTTCAACAGCACGAACAACAATCAACATAATGACAAGCCCCGTAACGTCATCATCTGACCGCAATCAATGGAGTTTGCCGTATCAATTTACATCGAGGACCGCATGGCACTGACGATGTCGTTTTACTCGTACCCACCGCCACCATCAATGTCGCCGACATCGTTAACACATCGTCATCATCGTCACACTCATCAGAATCACGGGAGACACAAACTTCATCGCCCGTCATATGGGTGGTTGTCAAAATTCGGGTCCCTTTTTGGGTACCCTAAATATTAGGTGCCGTATTATTATAGGGACCCAAAGCGGGACCCTAATTTTGACAACCACCCATGTGCCGTTCTGACCCATCAGCGGCAGCTTTCCAGTTCGCTGAATATTCACCGAGTCGATAAACGCCGTGATGAGGATACCTGATTTCATAGGGATCCTTAGGGGTGTAGGGGGGAGGGGTGTAGGGGACTATATTTCCTTAAATAGGCCTTATTAGTCCTTATTATGGGCCTTAAGGCCCCCTACCCCCCCTCCCCCTACACCCCTAAGGATCCCTATGAGGATTTGATAGTCTGTAAGCGATCGTAAACCTCAAACATTAGAGGCCTCAAGCCCTAAAACCCTGCAGCCCTACACTCGAGAGTGTGAAAACTGTGCTTTCAAGTAAACAGGGAGAAAAAAGTAATCACTTTCATGTCATAATGGTCCCTTTAAGAAAAAGTATTTAAGTATGGTACTCGAAACTATACCCCCTTAGAACCATTAAAAAATACAAAAATGAAAAACAAAAAACCTAAGGAAACTATAGCAACGCCCAGAAAACCCCATCATCTCCACCATCTTCGAGCCGTGCCATGGTCGCCATCAACAAGAGACGCAAACAGCGAATAGAAGAGTGCGTTAATGTAGGAACCATTAGGGTTCCTTTAAAGGGGTCTATAAGGGCTACTATAAGGGATGTATATGGCTACTATAATAATGTTGGGGACCTGATTAAGAAACCTTGGGCCTTTGTTAGGTTTCCTTATATGAAGCCTACTATTTTGGGGTTATCGGCCCAGGGTTTCTTAATCAGGTTCCTACATCATCCTCATTGCACGATATCTCAATGATAACTATAGCTGCTTTCAGCACAGGCATAATCATCATCATCGTCATCAATATCACCATCACCATCACCATCCTCCTCCTCCTCCTCCTCCTCATCATCATCATCATCATCGTCATCATCATGAAACATACTCTCGAACAGCGTGCTATCATCACCACCCTGGCCCCATCGCGGTTTTTTGACCGAAAACAGGGGCTACATGTGACATGACCTACAAATCTTCAGACTCCCTGCTGGGTCTTGAGATCTTGGAAAGACCAGAGTCTCGAGCTGTCGTGGTTGCGCGTTTGGGACGGTCGGAGGGTTTCGGCGCTTGGGAACTTGGGAGGCTCTGGGTTTTGGGGTATGTATAGGCCCTCATGTCAGGGATTTCTGCGGGTTCGTTCATACGTAGGGCTTGCGTTTGATCTCGAACCAAGGTGGAAACCCCTGCCCAGTTTTTTTCAACCGAAGCTTCGTGTCGCATTTTGTGCATTCTACCCTGGCTACGACTATCCAAAGGGTTGCAGTCTAGCAGTACAGTGTACTCAGAGAAACCTACGTGCCAAGGCTAGTATGGCTTCTCACTCTGACTACTGTCGTTTGAGTTTAAGGTCTTGATGGTGCTTATAAAAACTCTGGCGATTTTATGCTACGCTTTTATAGGGACAACAAGGGGAGGTTATGACTAAATATTCAGACGTCTCTCTAAAACCATATGCGGACTAGATGTGGATATGAGTACTCATTCTTCAGACCTCATTCTCAAAGCATCGGGACTATACTACGACTACTGCGACAACTACCGTGACAACTACCACTGCTACTCAGCATTGAGGGTGCTTTCTTAGAGTACATTGGGTCTAGAGAGCGATTGACCACCTTCATCAAAACCCCTAAGTCACGCTGTAACACTGAACCAGAGTCGCCCGTAAAATCGAAGACCCAGGCACACTGATTGATGTGTTGGTTTCTGAATTTGTCTGACTTAGTAACGAGTCAAATTAATCACTTACGACAAGCAGAATAACAGCAGCGATACGAATTGCGATCACTGTCGAAACGAAGAATAAGCGTGCCCAGCGCGCTTTTCTGTGACTCGGTCGTAGTCTTAGTAAGGAAACACCGAAGGACAAACAAGAAACGTAAAAGTGTGCTACAGGGGAACCCAGACCGCTGCCATTCGGAGCTACAAGGCCTGACGCAAGAAAGCGAGCCACGTCTGCTCATGTTGCAGTCATTGCGCTGCTGAATCGTTCTCATGCTTGCTTGACTAGCTGCCTCCTCGCTTGGAGCATGACCATGACAGCCATTGCAGCTACATTGAGAAGGACTGCAACCCCAAACCCGAGAACCCACACCCTTGCCAAATCCTGATATCTAAAACACTACCCTAAACCCTAAACCCTAGACCCTAAACCCAAACCCGGAACAAACTATCACCCTCGCCGCCCCGAATCATCAGCAGCAGCCCAGCATCCTGCCATGGCTGCTCGGGCTCTGTAGGTTTGCACGGGGTGCAGGGCAGTGATTATCTAGGATAGGGTTCCTTACAGGGATCTATAGGGTTCCCTAAAGGGATCTATAGGGTTCCTTAAAGGGATCTATGGGTGTTTAGGGTTTAGGGTCTACTTGGAGGGGCAGGGGACTTAGTAAGTAGGGTTATAAGTAGGGTTATAATTGGGGTAACTCCATTTAAGGTACTATTATCTCTGGGGTTGAGGGTTTATAGGGTTCAGGGTTCGGAATCCATGGTCCAGGGTTTGCGGTTTAGGGGTTTATGAGTCTAGAAGGTAGGATGCCCAGTAACCTAGGAATAAAAAGGTCTCCCTTTTTGGTATTGCGTAGCTTAATACGGAACCTAGGACTACAAAAAGGGAATGAGGGTACTACTCAGCATCCTAGTTATGATGACTTGACCAACGCTGGCAATAGGGCTGTTCATTATGGGGCTGTTGCAGGATGAATACAGGGTGTCCATCAGGCCCGTATGATGACCTAGGGCTTCAGACGAATATAGGTCCTTTATCAACAATAGTTTGAGCAGTGTTTTGGGGCATGTTTTCAGTATGGCTACAATAAAGCAAAGGGATAGTATTACTAGTTATGCCGGCTTCCATATCAGGATCCTTTCGAATCAGTTTGGGCTCCTTGATGTGGGGAGACCTCAACACGTGATCTTGGAGTCTGTCACATGCCTTGTCAGCCGTACGGTCGGCAAGTACCGGCCTAAGACCATGAGCCTTCGCACATACCTATAGTCTCCATTGTAGTTCCTTTGTTTTGGTTTAACCAATTATATATTAAGGACCGTAAAAGGTAACCCAAAAAAGGAACTACAATGGAGACTATAGGCTACACGCTAAACCCTAAAGACTATAAGTACTACCCGAACTCCGAAAAAAACCCAGAACCTCCACAGATCCGAGAAACGAGCTCGACCCTGAATTACCCCATAAACCCATGGAAAGCACCGAATAATATAGGTGCCTTAATAATATCGGATTCTTTTAGAGGGCTCTTAAAAAGAGTCCTATAGGGGTGACTATAAGGGCTGCCATAAGAGTTTAGTGTTTAGTGTAGGGGCCTTACCTGTAGTCTCCATTGTAATTCTTTTTTCGGGTTAACCAGTTTTATGGTTAGGATCCTACAACATAGACTTTGGCTAACCAAAAAAGGGAGCTACAATGGAGACTACAGGTAATAATTACCTATACTATTGTGGGGTTCCTTGTTTATAACTATAGTATACTATGGTACAACGGGCCCCAAAACCCTGAACCAATTAATAAAGCCCCCATATTATGGAAGGAAGGAAACTGGAGACCGCCACGGTTGTCACGAGCATCACTGCTATCATTAGGAAGAATGGGAAACAGTGGTAATGGCGGCCACTGATTGAAGCCGCAAGACATACTGCTACTGCTACTATCAGCAGTCCTTGTGTTCACTTAATGTAGATCTAGTAGAGGTGGAAGCCAGAGTTCTGGCGGACTGCGTAGCATTAGCAGCGGCAATCGGAGTAGGGCTCGAGGCGTGGGGTATCCGGATGACAAATAAACATTTGAACCCCATAGCTGCAATCTTGGCCGGGATCTCGAAGACTTCTTCTTGGCCTGCATCCAGCAGGTGGGTGGAGGGTCATCGGGTGCGTTCGTTGAATTAAGACAGTCTCAGGCTTCGACGTTTTCAGCTATGAAGTAGCAACGGCTACAGAAACGGAAACAAAGTTGCACCCTTTAAGGCTATTTGCAACCCTGCCCGACTGCATGCCCTGACTGAGTCTTACTTCGAAACTTCTTTCCTGCGTCTCCTGACGCTTCAAGGAGATGTTTGTGCCGTACTCAGAATGTGAAGAAGACGTCCACAACCGAAATCTCCTCTTCACATTGTCACCATCAGTTTATGCCCATCATCAGTAAGAGCAGTGTCGTTCAGCAAAGCACGCGAAAGTAGCTTTGTCGAACCGCAAAGACTTTCCGGCAAGGTCAACACCATGAGCAGTATGGAGAGTATCAGTACCCGTGGTACCCGATCAGAAACTGTTCTAGTTCTAGGTGGCACAGGGGCACCTCATGGTGGCTGTGCAGATTCATGATACAAGGCGAAACACTACCGGTCCATGCGCACACACACAGACACACACACGAGAGCTGGAAACATGTACAGGCCCACCTTGCACTCACCCAAACACAAAACCACGTACACATTAACATTTTAGATACGCATGCATCAATGGGGTTTTAGGCCTTGTGTTGAGGGCTCAAGGAAACCCATGCATGACAGGTGGACATCTGCACGTGCGTGCTTAATTCAATAAGCACATAAACTACTAGATAAGAATGTACAGTTTCAAATTCAGACATATGAATTCACATAAGTATGCGTGCAAAGACACACGTATGCCCGTGGTGAGTGATCGTTCGATAAACCTCACATAGCGTCTTCCCCCAAAGTTCTGAAACCGCAAAATCTACATAGCCCGGCAGCCGGCCTTCTTTGAAACCTGGTCAGGAAGAGGGTGTTGGATAACCCTTACGGACCCTTAGCATCTTGAAACTTCTGGCCCTGAACAGTGTCCCGGCTGCAAACAAAACATCCCAAACGCCTAAAGACCGTGAATCACTGAAGCCAAATTCAAGCTTCGGGGGTGTGTTAAAATTACAATGGTGTGGCGCGTAATCGTCTTCGAATCAATGCCTATGCCTATGATCTACTTGGACTTAGCAAACAACTACGCGATTTCGTGTATGCATCTTGGCTGCTGGGATTTGTGAAGTTTAAGCTTACACGGACGGAAGTGCTGTCGGGCTGGCGCTCGTCAAAAAAAAACGTACATGTTTGAGTTCCTCCAGTAGATTTTTCCGTTAACGTGGGCCTTCTGAGTGCTCTCATTGTCCGCCTCGCGCGATTGCAGCTCACAGCTGCAATTTCCCAGTTTTCTCACTGAAGAGACCACGGCCACCGCCTGGCCTCACGGCCAGGAACTGTGCAGTTTGTAAAGGATCGGAGCTTGCGTTGCGAGGCTCAGCGCCCCTGGCCCCTGTGCTCCAGCATGTGCAAGAGCTATAAAAAAGTTCCTTCCTGGGGCTCACGGATATTCCCTGAGAGATATGCGGTCGTATGCCTGCATACATGCAAGGACTAAGATACAAGACATACATCCTGGCGCCGTGGCATGTCACGAGCGCATCAATACGGGCAGCTACCCCGTAGATATCTGAGATAAGATTAAAGTAAACGCAGGCAAGTCTTCACGGGCTCAGGGCTTGGGGTTGGAATGTTGCTTCATATGCTTACAATCGTGAACTTGCCCGTTCCCAATAAACCCCAAACCCTCGACCCCTAGACTCTGGACATGCTGCGGTCTCGTAGGGTTCAGCAACACATGCTTCATCAGGAGCCCCATGCCAGCAAGTCGTCAAAAGCTCGAGGCCTTGCAACACAACAACTGTGTAGCCTGGCTCATCCTTTCTTTTCAGGGCTTTTAGGGTTTAGGGTTTTGAAGCAGGAACTGGATTAGTGAGTGTCCAACCACACAACGAGCGCACTTTTTGGTCTGAGCCCAAGACGTCTGTCGTACAGGGTGCATTCAGAACTGTCTCAAAAACTATCCACGCATGAGGACATGTCAACACGGCGCTTCAAGACAGGGAAATTTCACACCCGTCTTATCTGTAGTGTGACGTCCGAATCATGCTCTAATTATGGCCACTTTGGACCAAGCCTACTCCACCGGATTATACCGGGAGCTTGCGCAGTCAACCGAGCCGAGTGCGGCGACTCAAGGCTCCAGGCTGAGTTCTTCGATCATAAAGCGGAGTGCTTTAGGTACTCTCGGTATTCTGTGCGGCTTGCGCGGGCACATCGAGCACCTGAACGAGATTGCGATCAATGCTGTGATTGATCAAAAGCGGTTTCATACTCTTGGTCAAACAATCCGCAAGTTGTAAATGCGTCGGTATCCATCTCAACTCGTCGCCGTAAGGATGGTACAAGGCGTGCGTTAGCTCGTCCTCTTCCCAAAGTCCTTGGCGGAGTCCAGACATCTCTATGGCAAGGCGTTTATCCTCGCATGATTTTGGAATCGACGCAGTCAAGTGATCCGAAAGGGACCTGCAGTCCGTATACTGCAGGTGGAACATCGATCTCTTGGCGACTTCTTCCCAGTTCTGTGACCGGGGCAGTTTGCCGAGCAGTTCGAGCACTGCTGCTCGAATGCGGTCTCCATGCTCTATCGCATGTTGCAACGAGTAAGCCTCACACTGGAGTGTGGCGCGACAAACCCGTTTCATGGTGGACGAGGAAAACGAAATGAGGTGCATCTCATGCGTTGACGCGTTCTTGTCCACCGCCGACTGTGCGGAAGTGAGATAGTGGAAACGACCTCTCTGCGACTTATGGTTCGCCTCTCCTGCAAAGGAGGCATCGCAAAACGTGACAATCGCCAGCTCTCCTGTATTCCAGGGTAACTTAGCGCTGTACGTGATCGGCCTATCCGCATCTCCTAACGCCAGTGCTACTACGCGGTTTGCTTCACGGAGTGTATCCACCGTGGCTGTCGTAACACGCTGCTGCAGGGCATTCACCCTATAGGCAAGATCAGGTCTCGTGGCGCGAGCCACCCAAGCCAGCGATCCTATGACGGATCTCAGCGCTGTGCGCTGGCCATTCGAGACTGGAGTCGTGCCCTTTTCAGACTTATGAATATCGATCGGGCGAATTGCACGCGTGTTGTCCCTACAGTTTATACTGATGGTCCCATCGGCGCTTTGCACATACTCGCGTCCGCAGAAACGGAACTTCTCAGTCTCTATGCGACCGATCTTAAACTTATCCAGCAGATTCTGGATAGCCGGCTCGCCTTCGGCGGTAGCAGCCCACAGGAAATCATCCACGTGGGTGCACAAGCAAGCACACAAACGACCACCTTCTCCTGTAATATAGTACAGGGCTGACAGAATTTGCGAGGCATTTAAGCCAAATTCGCGGGCACTCTCCTTTATGCGGAGATAAAGGTTCCGACCCGCGTCGGTCGTGCCATACACGGGTACTCGGGCAATCATATGCCCGGCTCGCTGAATCTCTGCATCGGGTACACCCTTAGGGTGTTTAGGAACCCGAAGAATGAGAAGGCGCTCAAGGGGTTTCCCTTGGAAGTATGCGTTCGTTATATCGGCTGCTTTGAGCCGCAGGGCCAATGAAACCGCCCATGAACACAGAAGGGCTATGCCTTCCGGCTCAGCCGTGGGGCTGTCTGCCCTGATATCCTCCTCATTCGAGATATGCTCGAAGTTTCCACATGCGACCAAGCGTGCTTTCCACTTGGGAGTGTATGCTGGCGTCCCCTTTAGGTGTTCATTCTTATCGGTGAGGACCCATTTGGTGGGGATACACACGTGGCCAGCCTTTGTGAGCTCCTTGAACTCCTTGTCTGTGCAAGGAACCACTGCGTTGAATTCAGTGTACTTCTGCCATTCAGTTTTCATGGCAGCATCCAACCCTAGCTGAACTTCGACAGGGGCTTTGTGGTAATCCAGGAGCGAGGCCATGTAGCCAGCATCGACATTAGAGCCGATGGCGTCTTCCCCATCTGGGGTGAGAGCGAAGGCCTTGGATTCCGCCGCTCGACTATCCGAGGGCTCAGCTGCTGGCACAGTCGTGCCAATCGCAGCTGTGTGCGATGCTGCTGCCAGTCCGTCGTCTTCCTCAGGGAGGTAGTGACACGGATGGGCTTCTGGCAGTCCATTGGCACGTATGTGCTCGGCAAGTTTCGAATGCTCGAGCCATATGTGCTGGGCGATATTCCGCCTATGGCATCGCCGCCAACTGGCCTCCGAACACAACAGGAGTATTCGGTGGAAGTCATCGTGGGCCTCGCTAATTATTCTAGCGATCGTACAGAGCCCTTGGTCTGTTTGCAGGTTGGCCTCAATCCCGCCCCGATTCCTATTGCCTAACTCGGGGGCGTGACTGTACACAACACCTTTTGCAAAGCACGTGGCGGAAAGCTCATCACAATTGTATTGTGGATGCCGAACGCTGTACGGATGGCTTCTGCAATCTATGATTTCCTTAATCCCGTACTCGTGGATGCGTTCTAGAAACGTCTCAATGGGAAGATCAGAGTGACCCATGGTGTATATTCCATCACCTTTTCTGCCAAAGGCATTGGGCGCATCCCTATATATGGGGTAGCCTAAGTCCGACAAAAGCTGTATGTCATCTTTAGACAACTTGCCGAGATCACTCACCGTGTATGCGGAGAGACTGTATCGTTCTCCTACATACGGTGCGACCATGTGCACGTCCTTCGGGCGAAACTTAAGAACCTTGTTCTTAGTGTCGTGGACGGTGCCATACATTGTCGTGTTTTGAACACGCACGGGGGTTGTACCCGTGGCTTCTTCCACCCATAGACCGCCTCCACGATACTCGCCCACACCTATAGTGTAGTTATGCGAGCCAGGAGTGTTCGCTAGGTCTCTATGGGCCTCTGCGCCTCTGTTTGTAAGCTGAACGCTACTCCACTGTGGGAGGTGATGACCGGCTTGCATACTGTGATGCAAGATATAGTGGTTGAGGTACATGGCAAACGACGGTCTCTCGCGTGTTGGTCCAGAAACTCCAACAAGACCACCGTGCCGATATACTCCCACCGCGAGGGCTATGCATCCGGGATCTCCATCATCTAGGAGCGGACGCGTGTAAGCCTCGCGTCGGTCGCGGTCATAAGCACGAAGGAGGGCCAGACACTCATCCGGGGAAAAACCCTGAGTATCTATCAGGCCTTTTGCCATGATCTCTACTTGATCAATCTCTTCCGCAACTAGTGCATCATCACGGCCTCCTACTGGCGATCGCGACCGGGCGGTTTCGCCCGTCTTATCTTTGGCGCGAAACCTTGCAGGCGTGGATGGCGCTGGCATCGGTGTGCCGGGCATCATCGCTGGCGTCGATGGTGCTGGCATAGGCACATCGTGTGCGACTGCCGGTGTAAGCGGGGCAGCTGCAGCCACTGGACGTGGCGTCGCTGGTGCTGTGACCGGGTCTGCTACGCGCTCATCCTGGAACCTTTGTTCCGGTCCATGAACAATGGCTTCCGGAAGCACTGGTTCTCCTGCCAAAACGCGATGCGCTGCAACTTCAATTTCATCAGCCGGGCGCATCTTCCTAGCGTTCACAAGTACAGGGATATTCTCGTGTAATACCCAGTACGCATTCTCTGCCTCACGTCCTATGACGCGGCTAACCGTGGACCACACGACACCTGGGCTGCCAGGGACGTTATCCCGACGGTAAATAACTAAATCACCAACCTTATAGTCAGTGTCTAGAGGGGCTGCATTACGCTGTAACGCCTTGGCCACTTTGCGGGAAGTCTCTAAATGCACGAAGGCCTTCTTGGCTTCCTGCCGTGCTCTGTGCCGAATGTAGTATACACTCGTCTCATCATACTTGGTGAACAATGTACCAAGGCTTTCGGATTCATCTAGCGCTGAACCC